GGGCGTGGCCTGCAACCCCCCCCCCCCTCGCACCCAGAGTCAGGCCCCTTGCTGGTTGGCGTATGACCTAGGAGCCCGGGCCCGTGTGCATGATGATGCTGCGGGCCGGCAGCTTGCTTGAGATGTATGACTCGCCAAGAGCTCGGGGACTCCCGTCGCGCTGTGATCTACGAGCCTTTAATTATATACAGGCCGCTGCAATCAGCGTCCATGTCACCACCGCCCTCGCACTCCCAGCTCCGCCCGCGGCCGCCTCGCCGTGCCAGCCAGCGCTGCTTGTCTGTCGAGTCTGCTCCGCGCGGCCGCCTCCCAGCCGTCGTTGCAGAAGCAGCTGCCAGAGGCGGCGGCGTCGCCCACGCATGCACGCAGAAGTGGCACAGTAGTGTCTGTACTTAGTGGGAGCACCTCGGGGCTCTTGAGTCGTCGACGGGCCGTCTCTGCGTCCTTCCTTGTGTCGCGTCCTTCGCGAAGGACATAGCTCGGGACATGCGACAGCTTACGAACCACGGTACGAGCAGGCCTACAGCCCGTCATGGTCGCACCGTGCTTTGCTGGCCTTGCTGAGCGGCGAAGGCGGCGGCGGCGGCCATTGTTGCCATGCTGCCCGCCCGCCATGCCTGCTTTTTGGATTCGTCCACGACCAAACACTGCCATCCACATCATGACGACAACCACAATCATCTCGCATCGTTGATGCCTCCATCCCCCTCCTCCCCAGCAGCCATGTGCGTGAGCTTTTGCTTCATAGGCCACGAGGCGCCCTGTTGCCCTTCATCTGCTGCAATATCTGATAGGGCTGATGAATCCGGGCGCGTCGGTCGTTTTGCTCGTCAAGGACGGCAGCATCCCTGTCGTGACAGTTGGTGTGGAACACTGCGGCAACGGCCTTGTGCTGTTTGCAGCGTTGTGACGTGAGTTCCTTGCCATGGCTAGTCAAGGGCGCGCGCCCACCGGTGCGACTCGGCGACCTCAGGCACTCGCTCGCTCGCGGGGCAGTGTAGCACGCGGGAGGGCCGATATGTCTTGCGCCGGGAGAACCGTTCGCTCCAGCCAGCAGCAGCTCCAACTTGCTCCAGCGACTCCAGCTCCAGCAAATGACCGCTGCAAGCTCCACCATTGCCGGTAGAGTTTTCGTCTCTGCCCAGTCTGCTGCATAATAGTGCCGGCTCTGACCAGCCTTGCGCCTCAAAGCATGCCCGACATGGCCGCTTTCTCAGCTGCCATTGCTTCATGTAAGACGGGCGGCATCCGACGCACCTCGCTTTCGTCCTCGAATCACGCCTCGTCATCTGGCCTCCACAATTTGGCCCATCGTTCGTCCCTTGCACCGGCGTGCGGCTTGCAAACCGCTACCCATGGCCAAACGCCTGCTAGCCCTTCTGATTCGACGTCTGCCTTTTTTCTGCAATACACACGCAGACAAAGAGCCTTTGTAGGATTTTCCCTCCCACTGCCGGATCGCCCGCTGGTGACGAGGCTCTCTCGGACTTGCGCGGATGTAGCCACCACGAGGCAACAGAATGGCGAAACGCCCAGAGCGTATTCAGCCTCGGCACCTTGCCGGCCTGTTTTCGACTGGCTGCATAATGGGTGACGACGCAACGCTCCAGCAAAGAATCGTCAGCCTGCCGTAGTTTGCAGCTATCCTTGGGGCGCACCGCCTACCTATTCTTCATTCCCTCCCTCTCTCCCTCCCTCCAGATTGGGGCGGACGGCCCGCGGAGATTCAATCCACGCCTTCCGCAGCCAGGTTGGAGTCAATTCCGTCAGCCAATCATCCACCCGGCATTAATATTGAATTCTCCAGTCAGCAAAATTCCCACCTCCAAATGGCTGCTCGTATGTGTCTCTTTATGTGTGTGCGTGTGCGTGTGCGTGTGCCTTGCATCTGCTGGGAGACGGGCAAATCTCCAATGTGCATCATGCGCAGGCAAAAACAACAGCAAAACACCCCCGGTCTGCGTCACAAGACGTGATGACATACATACCTCGCTCGAGCCTTTGCACTTTACGACGTTGCTGCGAGCAGACACACTCACCGGTCACGGCAAAGCGCATTTGATTATTGTTGTGCTTTGATTGACTGCCACACCGCATTTCGACATCCGAGTCAGTCACGAGCCCATGTTTAATGAGCGCAGATGCAGCCAGTGGTCCCAGGGTACTCAGCGACAAAGAACGGACCATGAACGTGTCTTATTGCCACGGCGGTCGTCACCTCCGTGTTGGCAGCCTTTGAGTGAGCGTGAGCGCGAGTGCGAATGCGAACGAGTATGTGGGCATGTGTGGATGTAGTATAAAGTGTGTGGTGGGCAAAAAAACAAAAATGCCGTCAATTGCCGCTGGTAGATGACGGTTACACCAACCGAACGGTGCATTTGTGGGGTAAAGAACAGCCATGATGGATCTTCACCCGCCCGCCCTTCGGTCGATTCACCCCAAACAAGCACAAGCAGCAGTCCGCACAACGCACATTAAGGCTGCGGCGCGAAGCGCATTACCCCAAGAATGGATCCCTTTTGACAGCGGTCAATCGAGAGTGCGGAACAGCGCGTGGATACAGCATGCCGGAGTCACTCGCTTGGTCCCAAGTGTGTATCAGCGGGCCGGGACGAGGTGTGGAATTCCCGCATATATCCCGTTGACGTTTAGATTAACGAAGTTTGTGTCACACAACTTGACCCCAAAAGATGCAAGGCCTGCAGAGTGCTGCAAGCATGAGTGGTTCGTAAGCAGTAAAGAAGACCCGTGTCGCTTGTGCCGCGTCTCGTGTGCCGCGAGCTGCGCGTAAATCCAAATGTGGTTATATCAGGCGGGAAGACATCATCAAGCCTCCGAGACGAATGGCGTCCTGTGCGACGCCTCCGCCGTCTGACAGGTTGCAGGCAGGGAAGGGGCACGTATCAACCAACTTTGACAGGACGCGCATCGACGCTGCTGCAAACAAACATTGTCTATAAATGCGGCAACAAGTCCTGTCAGAGGCGCCGTTTGTCGAACCGTGTCCTTGCATCAATGCACAAGCATCCTTCTGCATCCTGATGACAACTTTTGGCTCGTCGCAATTCTATAATCTGTCCATGTATAAGCTGGGACGCATAACTTCCGTCCTTGCAGTAGCACGGTGCGAGGGAATACGCCCTGGCGGGTAAGCGGTATGTCCTCTGCGCTTAGCTGCCTGGTTTATTGGGGGGGTTTGTTAACATCGTATGATGCCCCCCAACTCAACACGACGTCTGAACAACGACAAGCCGTACCGCTTGTGCGGACATGGTTTGAGCATCGACATGTTTTGGCTTCTGAAAAAAACCCCCAATCGTGTGACGAACGCCGGCAGATGTCATTTAGAGCGACGGAAGGGGTGGGTAAGCGGCCACAAGCCGTGGCGGGACCATTGATCAGCCCGAGTGGTGCTAATTCGCGGAAGAAAGAATTATGGCGACCCATCGGTGTGTTGGATAAAAGGGTTGGATATTACCTGGTGATGCCCCACGAGCACACCGCTTTTTAACAGAGTGCGACGAAGGCCTCGAAAAAAAAAGTGCACGGGAGCCGCCGAAGGGGGGGAAAGTAGGAGTCGCAGGCGGCAGACGAGTCGCAGCTGGGCATTTGACTCACACGTGTTCGTGTTGGGGCTGATGGCGTAAGTCTTGGGCAGTAAGTATCGCCGGCGGCCGAAGAAGGTGATGCGGTCGCAGAGGTGCACTGCATGGCGCTGACGGAATCAACGCCAGTGCCAGTCGCTAGCCGGCGTGCCAACTTTGGGCAGTCTGTCGAGGAGCTGGTGAAGCCATCGTCATGCCATGCGATGCAGCTGGCCTTGATCCGACGCGTTAGAGCAGCACCCATGCATCCCAGGCGGACAACGAGTGCGCCCCGGGCCGTGGCCGTATCAGCCTAACGCAACGTGTACAGCATGTCACAGCAGTCAGGAGCGTGCGAAGAGGGCAGGTGATGGGGCGAGCGGACAGAGCAGTGAGTGCACACATACCCCAGCAGGTCGAGCGAGGGCGGCAATGTCATCGAGGGGCTAGGAGGAGGAGCGGCGGCGGCGGCGGCGACATTGATGCGGTCATGGCCATGCCTCGCGTCGAGTCGAGTCGCATCGAGTGGGAGGGAGAGAAGGGAGCGAGCGAGCAGAATGTGCAGTGCAGTGCTGTGCTGTGCTGCGGTGTGCTGTGTTGTCCTGCCCCCTCCCCCCTCGCACTCGGTCGGTGGCTCGCTCATCCCCGCAGCCCCTGCCATGCTCGGTTGCTGGTTGGACTTGGACTTGGTTGCTGGTTGGATAGGAGGCGCTAGGAGAGGGCGGCAGGCCCGCGCCAGAGGGCAGAGGGCAGAATCAAGGACTGGGACCGGGGGGAACGGAGAAGCCTTGCCTGTTCGGAGCGATTTGCGTGGGCTAGGATCTGAACGTGCAGCAGACCCGAACGCTACACTAGCGCGTCACATGACCATTAGTGTCATGCGGTCTCCCGCAACGCCAGGCGCGAGCGAGAACGGGCTGGCCGGCTAACGCACGATGACTTGGCTCGCTGCATGCCCTTCGCTTGGGCCAGCCAGTCAGCGCCACTGCCGCAGGGTTACACGGGCGTCTATTGGCGGGCTTCGCGCTTGTGGCCCACCCTCGACTCTCCACCTGTCTGCCCCCGACGCCCAATCCCTCGATCCGCATGACTTCGGCCCCAGACACCGCGCCATGAACATGCGTTGCTGAAATTGCTCTTGTCAAGCCTCGTCATCCTCTCCATTGCTTCCTGTCTGTGGTTGGGCGACCCATTGCCTTCATCTGCGTCTGCGTCTGCATCTGCACCTCCCTATGCCTCCGCCTCCTCATCTGCACCTTGGTCTGCATCATCATCCTCGCCTTCACTGCTTGACCCCGACGTGTCCTCGTCCGGCATGACAACGCTGTTGAGATACGTAATCTGCACCTCCCGTTAGCCGCCATCCACGCCTAATGCCTCGACAAAGACTGCATCTTGCGCTGCCCGGGTGACTGCACCGTCGCTTGCCTTGTACAGGGCTCTTCCTAACAAGCTGCGGCCGCTTCTGCCCTGCCCTATCCAATCAAACACCCATATCCTCCATCTTGGACAAACGAAACTGCAAACTTACAAATGGCACCATTGCCCTTACCACCTCAGCTACTCGCTCCAACCCGCCCGTGCCGACAATGACTTCGTCTGCAACCGTACAACCAATCGTAAAGTTGCGGAGCCGCAAAAGATCAATGTCTTTGTGATCATGATCGTATCCCTGGCCCACCTGTCAGCAAACTCTATCAGGCATAGTCCCAAATGCATCCCGTCCGTTTCGTTGCTGAGCTTTGAGAAAAACTGTCGACTAGCTGAGCTGTCGTCCTAACCGCTGCTCTCGGCTTATTGGATGCGGGGCGGCTTGAAACTCTAATTGCCCTACGGCACAGCGTTGGAACGCAGAAGCTCCAGATACACACACCCAAAGCTTAATCCTCCCGGTTTGTAGCGGCCACATGAGTAATCCTATCATGGCTGTTGCTAACCTTAAGCCCGGATCAGCCGTCCGGTCCATGGGCCAATCACAACCATGCCACATGTGTCAGACGCAACGCTAACTTTGATGCCCCTCTGGAGATTGTTGCCAGTTTTAGATCAAAAAGACAAAAAACATATCACTTACCTTGGGATTACGCTTCAATGCGTTTGACTGGTTCATGGATAAGCTTGTAAAGGCCTTGACCGCCTTCTTATCGTCGTCTTGCACGCCCCCCAGAAACGTTTCTCTGAACTGGCGGTTTCGAAGGACAGATTTGATCTTGTGCGGTTTGCGATCGATGTCGTGACGAAGTTTACCAAGAGCTGCTGCGTCTGGTTGCCAATAGCCACCGCCTTACAAAGTTAGCACATGACTGCATATGTTGAAACCAAGAACACCATGTAGGGATCCATGACGCTACCACGTTGCAATGGGGAACGACGAGCGTCCAAGCACAACTCCGCACCGAAGCGCACCGAACCCGCGTGCGATACCAGCGTCATCATGCGGCCCGCAGCCGAACCTCGAGGCTATCCGATGTGTTACACTACCAATCTCCCAAAGGGTGGCGACTGCTGGAGCACATTCATTGCCATGTTCCACTCGTGCAACTGGTAGCGCTACCCAATGGTACAGTGCAATGCCTCCTCGCACCACAGATACAACAGCATTGTTACTGCTGACCAGTATTGGTACGTTCAGCACAGCGGCAGCAGAATCGTCTTGTCCGCTTCTGACAGTAGTCGCGCAGTCGTGGCACTACGATGCACGATATTGGTCGCAAAACTCGGTAGGGCCAAAAGACAGCACACAGAATCGCAGTCTATGATGGTCACATGCGTATAACCATTGGCAAAACATGCAGAGAACATGCATACTTAGGCCGATGGAAGACGGTGGTAACCACGAGGTCAAGTCGTGCTCGGAAACAGGTTCCACAACAGCGCATAGCTCCACGCCGTCCCCAGAGCAAGGAGCTAAGGAATGTGAACATACCTACAAAACTTCCACCTTTTGGCTGCACCTGTACGTAGTAATGTGCATAGGGTCCCTTGCGTCCAGTTCTTGACCATGCCGCGGAGAAGTACGTCTGCAACTGTCAGTGCATGTTCCAATACATTTGTCGAAAATATAGAGTTGATATCGTCCACTAAAGCATGGGTTTTCATATTTCCTGATAGTTGAGCTGGGAAATCGAATCCTCTGGCAACATAAATGTTCGCCAAAGCCTTTCCTCCATTAACGGTGAACTAGGCTGGCTTACCTTGTAGGGTGTTGGGTCTTTGGAGAAGCGAATATCTAGTTACGTCAGTATCTTCGTATGATATCTTTGCGCCTGCACCTCACCTCTGTAGATCCGGTAGATCTATGCACATTAACAGACAGACTAAAATGGGGTGGGGTGGGTACTTACGACATCCTTGACTGGCAACTCCGGAATTGTCTCGTCTGCTTCAATGATCTTTTCTGATACCTTTCCTGCAAATGTTGTAAAGTCCTGAAATGCCACTCTAAAGTCAGGGTCATGTACTACATATTTGTTAGTTGACCTTTGCACATGGTTCCCAAGATACTTTGAACAAGGAAATATGAGAAAGAATACTCACGCTTTAGCCAACTTCGATCGTTGTTGGCTGCCAATTCTTTCAAGAAGAGTAAAGTGTTCGGATGGATCGTGTGGTCCAAGTATGGCGTATCACCTGCATCTCGAGCTTTCGGCTTCTTAATGACTACCCGTGTTCCCAGCTCAAGTTTAGCCCCCGGTTTCCACAACTCTTGCTCATCGGAATCTTTCTTGTGAATAGGAAGGCTCTTGGCAGCGCGCCCTCGTGGTTTACGGTTCTTGCTCTCATCATCTTCGTCGCTGCCAGTCTCGTCAGCCTCGGACCCGACGGATGATTCTTTGTCGTCATGATCCTCATAGTCGGAGGCCGCGCCATCTTGTTCGTCTACACTAGGCGATACTTTTCTTGTTGATTGCTCGTCTGCATCATCTGTGTCGGTGCCTGGATCAACGTAGGATTTCCTTGCAGTCGCCCTTGCCCTCTTTGATTGTCTTTGCGGAGTTTCCTGCGCAGGACGCTTGGAAGAGCTCCTAGGCGCGGCGGATTTGGTTTCTTTGGTCGATTTACGTGGCATTTTATCGTTTCCGAGGACCAGCAGAAGTGTGGAAGAGCTACTACAGTAGTTGTGAGTGACTCGGTTTGTTTGGAGGTCGGAGCGCGCACTGGCCATCGATGACGCACACGAACGCGAAAACCCATCGCGGTGTCACGAGTTTCGTCCGCCCTATCAAACCACGGACCCCTCATAGTCATGACCACCCGCTTCGCAGCTCGCAAGCAAAGAATACTCGCTCAGCTAGATACTCCCGATGCCGACTACCATGACCTGTCGCCAAAAGGCTCTGTCGATGCCCCAATTCGAGATTTGATTGGAGAAATCAACCGCCTCGAAGGCTTTGTCACGACCAGCAGTTGCTCAGGACGCATCAGCGTGTTCCTGGAAGGCCGTAAGGCAGAATCTTCCATCGATGATTCCTCTATTGAAGGCGACTCACGAGCTGGGCCTGGAGGAAAGGGCGGCGGGGGTGCATGGCTGTTCCTTTCTCATGAACCAGTCCAGAACGTGGATAAAAACCATGACTTTTTGCCTGATTTCGGACTGAAGAAATCCGAAGTCGATAATGAAGGACCATCCGTCTCTAGTAGATATATTCATCTCAAATTCGAGCCTATGGTGAGACTTTTAACAACAGCACTATTTACAATCTAACAATTCTTAGATTCTGCACATCTTGACTGCATCTATAGACGATGCCCAGCACGTCCTCAATGCAGCACTAGCAGCTGGATTTCGTGAGAGCGGCGCTGTAAGCCTCGGATCAACGAAAGGAGAATCAAATCCTATAGTAGCTGTTCGATCAGCCGGTTATTCCTTCGATTCCATCATAGGCTACCAGAACGCAAATGGAGACAACATTGCTTTGGTGAATGAGAAGTATCTGCAAACTTTAGTCTCTATAGCAAATGAGCGGTTCAAGATCAATCTCGACAGAATAACCCGGTTTCGCAATGCACTCTTGGATACGCAACAACAGAGCACTTCACACCCACCTGATTGGGAAGATGCAGATGCCAGGAAAAAGAGGAAGAGAGAAGAAGGCCTTGCACGACAGCAAGCTTTAAAAAATAAAGATGAAAAAGATAATCAGAATAAGTCAACAGAAAAGGACTTGGATGACATTGGTGGGATGTTCTTATGATACTATTAGTTGGTCTTATCACTGTTATAGCAAGCAAACCAGCATCAAAGACACGTTTGCGATGCATGTGTTGTTTATTCAATATCACGAGTGCAAATTGAAATACCATGAATGGTAGACTATGTGTGAACATTCCCATAAAACATACTGCCCTACCATGAATGGGGGATTTTCTACATACTCGAGGAACCTGAGCGCAATGTCTCCGATTCCCACTTAACCTGCATCTTGTCCTTCCAGGAACCCCTTATTACATGACAAATCACCTTTTGACTCATTCGTGAAGGAATGCTGCCATAATATGTTTCCGACGCTCAGGCACTGTTGCGCTTCTCGACCAATGACAGCATCGGTTTTTTTTAGCCTAGTACATACCTTGACAAGTTTCCAATGTTAGACCCGGCGACTTTCATCCTGGCCCCACTCCATATCACAACTTCACATCTGCATATAAAAGGAGCATGACAACTCTCTTGTATAGTTTCAATTCGACTATCACATCTCAACTATCTCTGACTTAATAGCAACATTGGACTACCCCACCTGCACCCATAGTTTACCTACATTTCCAACATACGCCAACAAGCTGTACATCATGAGCCTCGCAGACGCTAACCGTCAATACTTTGAGTATGATTATATTTCCTGTTGCTCTTTCCCCTCCCCCTTCCACATTTTCCTCTAACCTATCGTTTCCAGCTCTCGCAACAATACCTCACCGTTCAGCACAAATATTTCTAACACATTGACAGCTCCATCTCGGATACTTACGATACCAAACCCTGGTTCGCAACCGTAAACAACCAAGTCACCAATGCCCTACGCGGCGATCTATCCTGGATCAGTATTCCGTTCGTCAATGTTCTCGCAGACGGACAAGAGAGTACAGGTACCCAGCAAGTCCGAATGCTGGATTATGCCTGCGGTACAGGATTAATGACGAGGGTAAGTCTCTTCATTTCATCTTGCCACTCCCCCCATCCCCCCATTTATCCTCCATGATCAATTCTTCCCGAGTTAGACTAGACAAAAAAGTGATTACCCTGATATATTTCCTTTACACGCCCATACGACAAGAAAAACAGAACTCAAACTTACCTAACATGATCAAAACTAGATCTTCGCCCCCTACATCACCCACACAACCGCCATCGACATCTCCCCAAACATGATCTCAACCTATACTTCGCGCTTCGCGGCGGCGGCCGCCACCGCCCCCCAACCCCTCACCATCACCACCGCAGTCGGCAACCTCTTCGACAAATCCGACCCCAACCCCTCCTCCTTAGACGCCCCAGAGTTCCGCGACTTCGACCTCGCAACTGTAGGCTTCGGGTTCCACCACTTCGAAGACGTAGTATATGCTGCGCAGCAACTCAAGGAGCGGTTGAAGCCCGGGGGTGTTTTGGTTATTAATGATTTTCTTGAGGGAGGAGATGTCTTGGTAGATGAGGAGGGGAAGATGGTAGAGGGCAGTGAGGGGAATCATGCTGTGCATCATCATGGCCATGGTCACGGTCACGGTCATAAGCACGAGCATGAACATAAGCACGACCACTCATCTCATGCCCACAAGCACGATCACAGCCATAATCCTAGCGAAAAACACGACTCCAGCCTCCACAGCAAAATGGCTGCTTCAGTCGTGGTACCGCACTTCACCATAGACGGCGTGCGCGAATTCTTCGAGAAGGCGGGTTTCGTCGATGTGGACGTCAAGACGATGAAAGAGAAGTCGTATATGGAGTTTGGAGGCAAGAAGATGTGGCGAACGATTTTGTTTGCGCGGGGAAGGAGACCAGCCGGCGATAACAAGAAAAAGAGCGAATTGTAAAATCCCCCATTCTGCTAAGATGGGGGGAATGTGGCAAGGGAGACCGCAGAAGGAAAGAAGGTGTATAGTGTAATCAATTCATAGAAATACAAAATCTTGGAATGGAAAATACATATGTATCTAGGATATCGAAACCTTGTTACTTCAAACCACACAAAAGAAAGAAAAAAAAGTATAAGAGAAAAAGGGACAAAAGAACGCCGGAATCTACACCTCATACTCCATCCCTAACCTATCGGCCCCAACCCTCTAAACAGAAAAGAACAACAAGAACAACGAACAACCTCACCACTTCCCCTTCAACGGCAAATCGCGACTCGAAAATCCAACTTGTATCCCAATCTCTCCCATAGGCAATACCCAATTCTGTCTCTTAACATCCCAATAACTCAAATCGCGTCTCGTAACATCAAACTGAACCAACTTGCCCTTCCCCTTCTCCAGCTGCACCTTCTCAAACCCACGCAAGACACGAACAGGGAAATCCACCGGTTCACCCGTCTCGTGATCTTTGTAGTCTTGTGGGAGGGAGATATACAGTTGGACAACGGAAGCGCCATCTAGAGGTCCTTTGTTTTCAAGAGAGGCTGAGACGGTGAGGAGCGTGGTGTAGAGGTCCGGGTTGCCGCCTGGACCGCCGCCTGCATCGCTGAGCGGGGAGGATGGGGGTTGAGGCTGTGGGGGTTCGGATTTCTTGATGCCTTTGGTTGACTCGAGCCAGGGGTAGATGTATTGTTCTACTTTGTTGAAGCCTTTGGGGAAGAGGACTGACTCCGGGTCCGGAAGGTCGGTGGAGTAGGTCGGAGGTGTGAGGCCGTCGGGTCGAGGCTTGGGTAGAGTTGTTTTTGCGCTCTTTTCTTCGATCATGAGGGAAGATAGCTCGAATTGTGTGTATGAGAGACCGTAGCCAAATTCGAATCGGGGAGTGATGTTTTGCTTGTCGAAATAGCGGTAGTCAATATATAGGCCTTCAGTGAAATCTTGCTGAGGTGCAAGGCCGTCGGATGGACTGGGAAGATACTTGACCTTGCTGCCTGGACCAAAATCGTCTTCCTTCTTAGCAATGGTGTAGGGCAGACGACCAGATGGGTTGACGTCGCCAAAAAGTACATCCACAATAGCATTCCCAGACTCCGTACCTGGAAGGTGGGCAATGAGTACTGCCCTAACGTTCATGATGTCGATGAAATCCTCTAGGATGACGGATCCAACCGTGTGGATGACGACAACGACGTCACCCATCCCTTCTCCACAGTCTTTGGCAACATTCTTGATGAGCTCTGCACCGCCTTTTTGCAGATTGAGATCGTTTCTGTCGCCCCGAATGTTTCCGTAGTGCTCGTATCCTTCTCCTGAATCGGCATTGGCGAAGACAATGCAAAGATCTTGATCTTCGAGAATCTCCTTTTGGTTGGGAAGCTTGTTCTCCAACCAGTCTGTTACGTATACGGTCTCATTGTCAAACGCCTGTCTGATGGCAGATACAGGCTCGACCAGATACGAAAAGTTGACAGCACCGGAACCCCAGCCTGAAGCCAAGGTTCCCTCGTTGCAGCTTTGATCAGGGCAGTGGTTGATGCCGTCGCGAGGGAGACGTGCATCTTCACCAAAAACACCGACACGGAACTTTGTCTTCGCCTTTCCATCGGTCTTCCAACCTTTGCGGTTTAGGGGCAGCATCTTGCCGTCATTCTTGACCAAGACTGTACCTTCAGCTGCAACGCGACGCACCAGGTGTCCGTGGGCTTCTTTTCCCTCTCCTTGAGCGTTGACGTACTGGTTGACCACACCCATTTCGTGATTCGAGGGGCTGCCTTCATGCAGCTTGCCGATACGGTCGTTGGTCCAGGAAGAGAAGTTTGGCCCATCATTTTCCCACTTGTCCTGACCGACTTGGTACCAGGATGCTACGACACGAGTGACCATGTCGTCGACGCGATCAATGGGTACACTGCCGTTAAGAACTGATTTGGTGAGCTCTGAACCCCATAGACTGTTACCCTTGGCCCATCTGAGACCATCTCCGGGCATTGTCATGTCCAGACCCGCCAGGGCGCTCGCTACACCTGAACGTTGCGCTAACCAGTCACTCTGAACGAACCCCTGGAAACCAAGCTCGTCTTTCAAAATTCCATTGAGTAGCTTTGAATTCTGGCAGGCATAGCTGGAGTTTACCTGGTTGTATGAACACATGATGGATGTTACACCTGCTTTGACCGAGTCGGCGAATGGCCATGCATAAATTTCATGTAAGGCGCGGTCGTCGATGTTGCTGGAGATGGCATTCGGCAAGCCCCACTCCCAAGCCTGTCTGAAGTGTTCCTGTTCGTTGGCGATGTAGTGTTTTGCGGTAGCCATGACGCCTTCGTCTTGGATGCCTTTGATAGTCGCGGCCGCTGCAATGCCCTGGAGCACGGGATCTGAGCCAAATCCTTCCCAAACACGACCGCCAGCAGGCATTCGGCCGAGAGGGCCCATTGCGGGACCAAGTAAGACGTTGACTCCTTTCAGTCTTGCCTCCTTGCCATGTGCTTTTCCGCGTAGATAGAAGAGCTCCTTGCTCCATGTCGCGCCAGTGGTGATGCCCGCAGGGAAGCCAGTGATATTGTCAGCAAATCGAATGCCCAGAGGTCCGTCCTGAGTAATATGTTAGTGCATGTGGAACCCTGTCTTTGGAGTGGTGCGCACCTGAAGACATAGACTGGGGAACTTTAACCTATCCACACGGCCAGTCTGACCCACACAAAGATCCATGCTCCACCCTGTGCCAGTGGTGATATTGACCTTCTCAGGCAATGTCATTTGCTTGACCAATTCAGCAGCCTTCTTGTAGCTCTCCTCCCATGCCTTGTCTGTTCCGCCTTTTGGCGAGGGGTACCACGGCGGACTGCGACCATCCTCAGGCACCGACACCTTGTATGCCCATATTCCTCCCGAAGCCAGTAGCAGAACAGTAGCGGCGATAAATACGAGCAACCAGCAGCAACAGCGGCCTGGTGCGCATTTAGATCTTCGTTGTTGGGCAGGGAATGGCGTCACGGCCTCGGTGTCTCGGTACGATGCCTTCCGGACCTTGAGGTCGCCGGCACTCTTCTTTCGTTTCAACTTGCTATCGAATGCGAGGGGGTCGTGCTCTTCGAGATCTTCCAGGGTCTCGTTAGACTCGGAGGAGAATCGCGTTGGGGTTTCAAGGTCATCGTCCACGGGTGCATCGAGCTTCGCGTACTTGCCGCGGCGCAACTCGTGGGCTTCGTAGGGAGCCATGTTGGTGATGGAAACGTGTCAATCCAGGAAGAGCAGCAGGTAAAAAGAAATATGTGGTGTTGCACGCGGCGGGGATGATGAGGCTATGGCAAACGGCGCGAGCGTGAAGCCCTGGTTATATTGAAGCTAGCATTGAAGCGTGTGTATGGTTGCAGCAGCAGCAGTTGGACACGGTGAGACCACCGATGCAGATGTGAGCGAGCGGAGATAGTGTCTGGTAGGACAATGAGTGTGGAACAGAAGACAACGCCGTCGACGTGGTGCGAGACAGTTTCACTCGGCGTCCGGCGTGTACTGGGGCCGGCATGTCGCCCTGCCCTGACTAGCCGCCGCCGTCGTCGATCCCATGGGTCCGCTCCCGCCCCTCCCATGCCCAATTGCGCAACTCGATTCATTCACCAACACCAACACCAACACACGTCATTGACTGACTGACTGACATCTTTGCACTGTGTTTGGCACTTTTTCCATGAAAAACTTGATGGCGACATGTGACATTTAGATCGTTTCTATTTTCGACTACTTTTTGATGGCTACCCTGTATCAGGTCGCGACTACTGACATTTACGCGCCAACCTGGTTCAGGATACCCTGGAGGTTGATGGACTTGGGGCGCTCAATGGGCAGACCCAATGCCCTGTCCCAGATGAGTTGTGCAAGAGGACCGAGACCACGGCTGACACCGAATGTTGCAGTGTAGTACAGAGTCTCCTTGAAGCCGTAGTGGTGGAAGAGGACACCAGAGGACGAATCGACGTTGGGGTAGGGGTTCTTGGTCTACGACAAAGTTAATCACTGCAATCTCTCAAAACTATGATTTCTTACCTTTCCGTGCTCGGTAAGTACGCCAGGAGCAACCTCCGAGTTCTTCTTTACGAGCTGGTAGACTGGGTCTGCCGCAATCTCAGGTCGAGCATTCGCAAAGTCCATGAGCGCCTCGAATCGCGGGTCGGGCTTCCTGAGCACAGCGTGGCCGTAACCAGGGATAACTCGTCCAGACTTGAGAACGCTCCAGAGGAAGTCATTGACGTCCTTTTCGCTAAAGTTATCGCCAACTACCTTTTGCATGTCGAGGATGAAGCGCAGCACCTCCTGGGCAGCTAGGCCGTGGAGCGGGCCAGCAAGACCTTGAAGACCGGCACTGTAGCTCAGGAAGGGATCGCTGAGCGCCGAACCGACGAGATGTGTGGTGTGTGCTGAAACGTTGCCGCCCTCGTGGTCGCCGTGCAGAGCGAGATACAATCGGAGAAGGTCCTGGAAACCCTCGTTCTCCTTGCCAGGCTTGCCCAACATGGCTGCGAAGTTGTAGGACCAATCTTGGTTCAGATCGATCTCGTTGGGGAGCGCACCTCCACCGCGGTATGCGTTCTGGTAGATCTTGGCGGCAATAGTAGGCAGCTTTGCGAGCAGGCTGATACAATCATCAAAGGTGGGCTCCCAATAATCCGCCTTGTTGATACCCTTTTCGTATGCTTTGGCAAACTTGGACTCGTAGTTGAGGGCTGAGACAGCGCATGCGAATTGTGTCATGGGGTGGAGGTCCTTAGGGAAGTCATCCAGCATCTTCTCGACAAACTTGGGAATGCTACCCTTTTCGGCGAGCTCTCGCGAAAGCGCACGAGTCTGTGACACTGATGGGACCTCGCCAGTCAGGAGCAGCCAGAACATGGCCTCGGGAAGCATCTCAGTGCCAGAGGTTCCCTTGGGTAGCTCCTTTTGACAGTCCTTGATCGTCT